TGAAAAAAGGAAACCCAAGAGACCATGAAAAGTGCTTGATTTAGACCAGGAAGCACAGCCAGATTCAAATGCCTATTCATGAAATTCATTATATAAACAAAAGTCAGCTACTCTGTCTAACCAGCTTCATGTGATCATTGTGAAGGTAGTGTTGGGAGAAAGTATAGCTTGAATTCCTTGGWCAAAAGACAGACTAAAAGATGTGTGGAAAACAGAATACAATGGACCTGTGGTACAAGGGTTGAATGAAAAGTAATGCCTTCARCTTAGTAACTCCTCAACAGATGGCAGTACTTTTTCGTGTGTACYTAAAAAAAGGAAACCCAAGAGACCATGAAAAGTGCTTGATTTAGACCAGGAAGCACAGCCAGATTCAAATGCCCATTCATGAAATTCATTATATAAACAAAAGTCAGTTACTCTGTCTTAACCAGCTTCATGCAATTATCGTGAAGATAGTGTTGGGAGAAAGTATAGCTTGAATTCCTTGGACAAAAGACAGACTAAAAGATGTGTGGAAGAAAGAATACAATGGGTCCTTGGTATGAGGGTTGAATGAAAAGTAATGTCTCCACCTTCGTAACTCCTCAACAGATGGCAGTACTGGTATGTGGCAGGTACTGGCTTATTCAGTAGACTCTCCTCTACAGTTACATTTTGGCAGGAAGCCTTAGCATTGAATGGCAGTGTTGTTAAAGTGCAAAGTATGGAACCATTTGCAGACGGTTGGTCAACGCGACTTAAGCAATGTGCAGTCATTGAATTCTTGACAGCAGAAGATGTCAGCCTAAAGGAGATTCATCAGAGAATGCAAGCTGTTTATGGTGATTTTGTTGATGTGAGTACTGTGCGTCATTGGGCGAGTAAGTTTAAAGATGTTGAGGTGACACCTTGTGCTGTCAAGAATTCAATGACTGCATGTTGCTTAAGTCGCATTGACTAACCATCTGCGCAGGGTTCCATACTTTGCACTTTAATAACAGAACCGTTCAATGCTAAGGCTTCCCGCCAAAATGGAACTGTAGAGGAGAGTCTACTGAACAAGCTAGTACCTGCCACATAAAAATACTGCCCTCTGTTGAGGAGTTACGAAGGTGGAGGCATTAATTTTTATTCAACCCTCGTATTTGCTAGGGTTTGGTTCCAGGACCCTCCATGGATACCAAAATCTGTGAATTCCCAAGTTCCATTATATGGAAGTAATAAAATAGTGTCCCTTGTATAAAATGGCAAAATCACCAGTTTGTTTGTTGGATTTAACACACACACATACATAAAGGAATGGATGGTTGAATCTGTGGATTCAGAGAACTGACAATATCTTCATTAGAGATATTGATGGTCTGAGAATCTTGTTCTCTGAAACATCTGATTCATGGCTCTTTCAGTCATGACCGAACAATATCTCATGCGGAAACACAGAATGTGAGTTAATTTGTTGGAAGCTCATTCTTACTTTCATATTTTCTCAAAGGAAATGTGCATTTTTCACATGCTGAGAGTAATGTTCATCTCCATTTCAGTTTAGAAAAAAAGATATACTTCCGCTATTTTGAGAAGCGTTGCTGCGGAAGACGAAACAGTCTCAAAAGGGGCTTCTCTCTCCGATCCAAAATATGCTATATTTGCAAAGTAATTTAGACTCATTTATGTGTATTGTCTGCCTTCCACTGATGATTACAGCTCAGAGACAGATTTCCAGCAGACTGAGTTGAATGTATGCCTAGACAAAGACAGTTTCCATTCTGTTGGGATTTGGTTTTGTTACTTTTTTTTGCATGAAATGATTGTGCACACATCAAAATTATATTAAAAAGGTAGAAGATAAAAAAAATAAAAAATCAATACTGAAGGCAGACCCTTTGAAACAGCTTTCAAAGGGGAGAGAAAAGACACTCTAATTTGAACTAGCCAATGGGATTCCTTTCTTATTGTAAACTCTGCAGAGTCAGTTCAAACTAATCAGAGCACTAGGAAATAATATCTTTCAAGCGATCTGATAGCGGTAATATTCATCCTGTGAAAATGCTGCAGACAGCATTGGCTCCCATGGCTTAACAGATGCTGACTTACAAAAGTGAGATAAATATGGAATAATAGAATTTCTGAAAATATTGAAAGCAAACAAGAATGAAACATCCGACAGTTCTGCAGCCTACAATCAGATTGTCTCAATAGAAATGGGAAGGCTTTTGATCTCCTTGGTCCACTGATATGCTCCCAGAAATGGTGAGCGAGTACATGACTCTGAAGCTGGTGTTGTTATAGAATCATAGAATCATAGAGTTGGAAGAGACCTCATGGGCCATCCAGTCCAACCCCCTACCTAGAAGCAGGAAAATTGCATTCAAAGCACCCCTGACAGATGGCCATCCAGCCTCTGGTTAAAGGCCTCCAAAGAAGGTGCCTCCACCACACTCCAGGGCAGAGAGTTCCACTGCTAAATGGCTCTCACTGTCAGGACGTTCTTCCTAATGTTCAGGTGGAATCTCCTTTCTTGTAGTTTGAACCCATTGTTCCACAACCTAGTCTCCAAGACAGCAGGAAACAAGCTTGCTCCCCCCCGCCCAATGATTTCCTTTCACATATTTATACATGGCTATCATGTCTCCTCTCAGCCTTCTCTTCTGCAGGCTAAACATGCTCAGCTCTTTAAGCCTCTCCTCATAGGGCTTGTACTCCAGACCCTTGATCATTTTAGTCGCCCTCCTCTGGACACATTCCACCTTGTCAATATCTCTCTTCAATTGTGGAGATTACCTTTCCATCAGTATCAGTAGGAGACAAAACAAAATGAAAAGCCAAAAGAAGAAAATGTGGGTAGCTCTGTTAGACCTATCCCAAAAACAGTTTCTTCTCCCTAGTGGTGGAGGAAGTGCCTTTCGGTGCTTCTACCCCACTTTAGGAGGAATGTGGGCAGGGTCTGCCGTGCATTGTGTGATTGTGCATGGCAGGCCCAATCCAAGCTGGGCGTAAAAGCGGCAAAACTGGGCAAAAATGCCCAGTGTGAAGAGGTCCATAGATATTCCTAAAGGGAATACACAATGTAACAAAATTTGAAATATTTCCTGTTCGTGGTTTGAACGTGTTATTCCTGTTTAATTTGTGGTTCTTACTTTGAAAGTACAGTGGTCCCTCACTTATCGCGGGTGTTACATTCCTGGACTACCCGCGATAAGTGAAATTCCACAATGCAGGGATGTCCCCTTCCCGCCTCGCTCTCCTTACCTTCCTCTTCCTCCTCTTCGTCGCTGCATGAGGTCTCTTGCCACTGCTTGGGCCCCGCAATGCCTCCTTGGTCACGGGGCCCAAGCGGTAGCAAGAGGCCCCATGTGGCGATGAGGAGGAAGCAGAAGGTAAGCAGGGCAAAATCCTTTTTAAAAAAAACCTGTGGAACACGAGTCCACGATAAGCAGATCAGTGGCTGCCAGGTTGTTAACTGGTGCTCCTTACAGGGAGCAGTCAACCCTCCTGTTTAAGGAGCTCCACTGGCTGCCGTTCATTTTCCGGTCTCAATTCAAGGTGCAGGTTCTTACCTACAAAGCCCTAAACAGTTTGGGACCCGCCTACCTTCATGACTGCATTTCTGTATACGAACCCACACGATCTCTTCGATCATCTGGAGAGGCCCTGCTCGCGTTCCCACCTTTATCACAGGCGCAATTGGTGGGAACGAGGGAGAAGGCCTTCTTGGTGGTGGCCCCTTGACTCTGGAAGTCACTCCCCAAGGACATCAGGCATGCCCCAACATTGGCAGTCTTTAGGAGGAGCCTGAAAATATGGTTGTTCCAGTGTTCCTTCCCAGAATAAGGAAACTCCCAGCAATATGTCCCTAAATGCACTTTATCAATGATCTAGGATTGTCTGCATGCCCTTTCCTCTCCGAAATTCTATCCTAGTTATATATTTCACCTGGTCATGCTCAGCATTATTTTTTTTAATAATTATTACATTTGGCGCAGCCATAGGTTTTTAAGCGTTGTTGTGCTATTGCTAATGCTTACTGCTTTTTTTTTTGTTTATGAGTTTCATTTTATTGTTTTGTATTGCTGTTGTTTTGCTGATGTATTTTGGGCTCGGCCTCATGTAAGCCGCACTAAGTCCCTTGGGGAGATGGTAGCGGGGTACAAATAAAGTATTATTATTATTATTATTATTATTATTATTATTATTATCATGAAGGAGCGAGGGATCACTGTAGTTGTTATACTCTAGATACTTCATTTTTGTGGCTGCCACAAACTATGTTGAATATGTTGAGACTCTATGGGAGATTCATTGAAAAACAATAGCAAAATGCCCTGCAAAAGAAAAGTTTTTGCAGTTTAATAAACTTTTCCCATGTTTTTATGATAGAACCAATTGAGAAATGACACTTATAACCTAGGAACAAAAATGTGTGATATAGTTATGTACTGTTTAAACTCACACATAATCAAATCTGAAAAAGTTGAAGCACCAAATGTGAAGAAAATACACTTGTTCAGAATGTTATTCTCAAAACAAAACCATCATAGTTACTGAAGACTGATTTATCTTGAGTGCTGTTTGTACTGACTAATCCGATATTATACTTTGCAAAAAGTTTTTAATGAATGATAAAAAAATATACAGTTCATCTGATTCCTGACTTTGCGCAATATTAATATGGTCGAGGACCTAGATTCACACCTAGATTCTGACATTCATTTACTGAACTTAAATATTTTTTTAAATGTCCCCCAAATAAATAAGAACAGCAATGAATAGAATAACTAAACAATACATTTCCCAGGCACAACCTCTAGTTTTCTTTGGAGAATGGTTTGCTAATCATTTCTTGTTGAAGAATCCACTGGACTCCTGAGGTTTTGTCTTGACTTCTTTGTTGATGTGTTGGGTCTTCTGGTTTTATTTTCTAATTACTTTAGGTGATTCATGTACAGTATTATCACTGATATTACAGAGCAGTCCTGGACGGAAACATTAATTTACGTAATTTATCTTAAATTTGATTGCAGTGAGCACCTCTAATTAACCTGATTTTTTGGTGATAATCACTCTCAATGGAATCAAATCAAAAATCCGGGGATGGATTGGCCGGCACACAGAAAGAAGCTGCCCTTCGCACAATAAGTCAGAGCACGGGATATAAATTGCACCAGGTAGGAATTTCCTTGCCACATGGCTACAGTTTTCGGACTACAAATCTGAAGGTAAAAGATGTGGCTTAGGATTTGTTTCAATGGCTTTTGCAACAAACTTTGCCCTATCTAAACGATCTCCCCCACTCCCAGTGTGCATTTCAGAACTGTATAAGGAGCCTACGGTATAGGTTAGGGTATTTAATGTCTGGTGAAACTTGTAATAAAATGCATCATCCCCAGTTTTATGGATTATCCAACCGCAATCTGGCTGATGCAGGTGGTGTTCACATAAAATGCCAATTTTGTAGTGAAGTATTAGGTTTGACCACTGTGCATTGTGTAATAGAATCAGCTAAAGCCCTCGGTTGTGCAATGTGTTAAACTTTTGTGCCGGCAGGACTTCTGACCCAAAGGTCAGTGGTTCAAATCTGGAGAGATGGGTGAGCTCCCATCTTTCAGCTCCAGCTTCTCATGCAGTGACATGAAAGAAGCCTCCCATAGGATAGTAAAACATCTGGGAGTCCTCTGGGCAATGTCCTTGCAGACAGCCAATTCTCTCACACCAGATGTGACTTGTAGTTTCTCAAGTTGCTCCTGACGTGGAAAAAAAAGTTGAAGAAAAGGTAACAAAAACCTCAACAAGTGTAAGGATGAACACCTCTGTTTTCCATTTGTGGGTCTCATTTGTCTAGGGTTGCCAGTATGAGAAAGTTGGAGTGCTCCAGGATCTATAATGGTTGTGCAGTAGAGGCCAGTGTTGTTTGTCATACAATAAGGCAGCAAACAATATTTGCTGAGATCTCTTACACAATCACTAAAGACCTGTGACAATCCTGTGCCCTGTGTTTGGGATAAAATTTCCCAATTTGCAAATTTTCATTTTTGCAATCAATTTGCAATTGTCCTGATAGATTTATTTCTACAGTTTTCCTTTAAATAAGTCCCCTTAGTATAGCTCTCCTATGTATACATTTGTGTGTTTGCGTTTTTCCATACGTCTTTTTCTGTGTACATAGAGCTGCATCTCAGCATTTTGAAAATATAAATATTACAGTACATCTAATTCAAAAATGTATTCTGAAAGTTCTTACCCAGCCCTACAAAATTGTTATGACCAGGCAAAACAACCTCATACCATGGCAAAAGAGACATACATTTTTGTGATTTTTAAACAACATTTCTTCTCTTCACGCAGGAAAATGGACAACGAAAGTATGGAGGGCCACCACCAGGTTGGGATGGACCACCACCAGAACGAGGCTGTGAAATTTTCATTGGAAAATTACCCCGAGACCTCTTTGAAGATGAACTTATACCCTTATGTGAAAAAGTAATGTATTATATTGTCTGCTCTTTCATATAGTTTAGGATCGGTTTTACATTTTATACTTTTTAAAGTAAAATCTTTTGAACTTAGCAGGCCTACAATTTGCTCAGTAGAATCAGAATGGAGGAAACATTTCCAATCTATACTGCATATATTAGGACAAACAGTTTTTCAAGCACTGAGATCATTTCAGGTAGAAAAAGTGTGATATGGAAAACAGCCTTTTATGCCTGAAGCCCAGGATCAAATCCCTAGTTAGCTATACAATTGAATATGTTGCCTCTGGCAAATTCTATTTTTTTATGTAATAATTCTTATGAAATTCTTGCAGTGCTAAAAATGATACCCCTAATATCCTTGAGGAAGGAGGGAAGGAGGGCACAAATCAGGTAGTTCTGCCATAGAATCAACATAATTTGCGAGTTGTATTGCCATTCAACAACAGATTCTAATAATTTGCAGATTAACAAAACTGGTTCAAGTAAACCCTAGAATTGAATCAATATCCAAATGTAGGCTTGCATCATATTGAGCGTTTACATCATCGTAAAACAATTTATGATCTCATGAAGGTAAATCAGAAAACTGTGCAATGTTTATATTCTCAGGAGGGGACCAAGACATGTTTCCACATCACTGTGTAAGTGGAGCCAATTGTGTAGCTGTTGTGATAACTATATCTAATGAATTTTAATTGCCCTATAGGGTATATGTTTTAATGTTAATTCATGCTATTAGTGTTATTATGTCCTATTGGATTATTTTTATTCAGTTTTCATTTCCATGCTTAATTCTTTTGTTATAAGTTACTGTTATTATTGTGCATTACTCTGTATTTTGATGTGTTTGTACTTATTTAGGGCATTGAATGTTTGCCTTCTTTTGTGTGCAAACCACCCTGAGTCCCTTCAGGGAGAGAGGGCAGTCTATAAATAACGTTTTGTTGTTGTTGTTGTTGTTGTTGCTATTATTATTATTTGAAATATAAAAAGATGAGTCCACAGCAAACAGGATCACTCTGCTGGCTGGTGTACTGGATCACACATCGGACACTTCCCAAGTGTCTAGGACTGTGTGATGTATTGGCGAATAATGTGTGCAGATCTCAGTAAGGTGGCCTTTTGCAGCTGCCAGATGATATTTTTGTCAGCGCCAATTGTATTTAAGTGCAGGTCAGGGTCTTTAGGCACTGCACCCAGTGTGCCGATCACCACTGGGACCACCTTGACTGGCTTGTGTCAGAGTCTTTGCAGTTCGATCTTTAAATCCTCATATCGTGTTGGCTTTTCCAGTTGTTTCTTTTCAATCCTGCTGTTGCCTGGATTGCAGCATCCATGATCCATACTTTGTTTTTTAACCCGATCATGAGGTCAGGAGTATTGTGCTCCAAAACTCTGTCAGTTTGAATTCAGAAGTTACAGAGTAGTTTGACATGTTCGTTTTCTGTAACTTTTTCAGGCTTGTGATCCTACCAGTTCTTTGTCGCAGGCAGATGGCATTTGTGGCACAGGTTCCAATGAATCATCTGAGCAATGGTGTTATGCCTCTGCTTGTAGTGTGTCTGCTTGATCTTCTTGCAGCAGCTGAGGATGTGATATCTTCTTGCAGCAGCTGAGGATGTGATCTATTGTTTCATCTGCTTCCTTGCAGAGTCTACACTTGGGATCTGTTGTGTAGATTATTATTATTATTATTATTATTATTATTATTGTTATTATTTGGATCCCATTACACAATGTGCAACCAGAATGCTTTCAGACTCATTGGGAACTCTAGGAAGAAGTTGTTGTCCTCTCCTAAACTGATTCATTAATTGATCCATATTTACATGGTAACATTACAACTAGGATGACGAACATGTGGCCTGATAGGTGTTGTTGAACTCCATCATGGCCAATGTTTAGGATTATGGGAGTCTAATATTTGCAAAAACACAGGTTCCTTACATTTCTATAATGAAGTGCATATGATATTTATATAGGCTAAAAGAATAGCTATGTTCATTCGTCTAATTTTCTGTTTGCTCATTCATTCATTCTTAACACTTGGCATTTCATTTTATTGTTTTTCTCACCTTGAGTCAGTGATGGCTGTTTGGTTTCGTATCAGAGAGAGAAGTGAATCTGCTCTAATTTTAGACTCAAGTGTAACAGTGCTATCCAA